TGTAACAAAGTAGTAAAAAAATTGCATAAAATTTTCAAGCAGTCTTGAATAAATCTGCGCAAAAGTTTTCAAAAATAATTTTCTTGTGAACTATAGGATTGTTAGACGTCAAATTTTTATTATATCTTGGTTGAATTTTTCACAAATATCTGAACGGAAAGAGTGAGTTGGCTGAAAATGTCTTTTACAAAGGAAAATTACGGACCAACCATAAATAACGAATCAGAAAATATTTCGCATTCGTTACCAAATCTTCAAAATTCAATTATTCAATTGCAAGGAGGATCCAATTTAATGATAAAAAAAATTCCAGCTATTATTAAACGATCCAATATGAAGCGCTCAACTGGTACAACTATAAAACCGCCAATAAAATCAAAGAAATATTCATTGGAAACAATGCCTTCAACTGGGACACCCGTGACCAGTTTCCAATGGCAACAAACTGATAGTAGCGGCTATGGTATTTCCGCGACTCCCATAAGTTTGGCTTCCCCAATGAACAATGAGCAATACGGATCCACTATGAACGCTTTAACCCCGTATACCGTAATAAAAACAGAGGGCACGGTATTACCTTTCGGGAACAATTACATACCGAACAATGCACTCAATAATCAGCAGTCTTCGTTGAACGTGGCATCACAACCGTACAGGGGTTCAACTATTTATATAAGAGGTAATGCATCCGAGCGTACTATTCGCACGGTCACTTTGGAATTGATTGAAAAAAATTCCTATGTTCACTTGGGCATTCATGCTAATCGCCTACCAATACTTAAAAATGTCGTTTGCAGGACGGCAAATGTCAGTTTGATGGATTGCTATATAACATTAAAAAAATTGCGTTTAAATGAAGATTTCTCTTTATTGTCCCAATATTTTGAAATTTCGGAAGCAGAGATCCAACAGATTTTTGTTCGTAGCGTTGTAAAATTATCAAAATATTTACGCTTGCTTATACGCTGGCCGGACAGTAAGAAAGGTAATAATCGTTATAAAGATTTACCGCTTGCTTATCGTCAGAATCTTTCGCATGTCCGTTCTTTGGTTGAATGCGTAGAAACCGAAATAGCGCCTTCATCTTTACAAATCGATTGCCATGTTTATAAATACATATTAAGCATTAACACGAACGGCATTATTTCATACATTTCAGAGGCCTATGTTGGCTATCACGATGATTTAACCATATTTCAGGCTTCAAATTTTAAAAATATAATACCAGAATATTTATCATTGGTTGCTGATCCCGGTAAAGCTATACGGCGTAAACGTAAACCGGAAATTTCTCGCTCGAAGCCCTCGGCTAATAATAATGTTGCTGGTGAAACGGATTCAACCACTGATTCGGCCGATGAATCGAGCAACGGTATAATGCAGTCGGATGAAAACGATGGAGAACGTCCGGTCACATCAAAATATAGGGCCTCTCGAATGGCAGGCGAGTTGGCCTCGCAACAAAGTCTCAGCGTTGTCAACGATGAGTTGATTTCGAAACGTGTGAAAAACTTTAGCATTCCTACGATGCGCGTACGCGAACCGATATGCCGTTTACAAATACGTCAGATGGTCGATTGTCTCCGCGAATTCAAAGTGCTTCAGCCTTTGGCCATACGCGAGCCGCTTTTATATCAATCTCTCAATGAGATATTGATTGTTTGTGCTGCTCTCACCAATCTACAAAAGTAGATTTATTTACTACACATTTTTTTGTTTAAAATTATTACAATTTTTTTTTTATTATTTTGATTGCATTATGCCATTGAACTTTTCGTCATGCAAGCACACGTAGCGCCGATTTTTGGTTTGTCTTAATATCATTAATATCATCGCTCGGAAAAGCTTTTGCCCAGGGAGTATTTCTTTTTATCTTATTTAAATGGATTTACTTTCGATTTGTGATTCATTCGGTTGCATATCCTTAAGCTAGTTATACGTTTTGCACTTGTATTATTCTGTTATTATAACATTCACATATTAAATATAGTTTTCATTTCATTTCACTATGGAATCACTTGAATAAATAAGAAAAATAAAAAATGTTCTTGTTCACTTGACTTGTGTAGCTTTACAATTCACTGCGTACTATGTAAACGTGGCGGTACGTACTTCAAAGGAACAAAATAGAAAACTTTTACTTCTATCGTTAATTATTACTATTTCAAATAATAATTAATAAAATATAAAAAAAGAAAAGAGAAGAAGAGCAAGTAAGAAAATTAATTCGACCGGGACTGTATCTTTTATACGCATCAACCGTTATCCTAAAAAGGACCAAAAAAGTGTTCAGAATTTTAATGCTTCATAATATAGAGTGGACGCAGCTGATTTTCTCTATTTTCAAAATAAAAGTTTTTGTCGTATAAGCATGTGCGCGTTGTAGGCGTGTCCTATGAAAAGTTCAAATCAATTGAGATTAAATTCTTTTGCATATTTTCAGGCGAGATTTTCATTTTCGCTAACGGGAGAATGTTTACCGCAAACACTATAACAGACGGATGGACAGACGAACAGGCGGACATGGTTAGATGCATCCCAAATTTGAAATGGGCCAAGAATTTTTTTGAAGCTTGTTTCTGCGCATTATAAAGGTATTGAAAAAACAATTGAATTTTGATACACTATACTATAATTGGGTAGGCGTGGTCAATTTTTTCCATTCTCTTACACAAATGCCACAATATCGCTTATCGAATAAAGTATATATTAGTTTGGAGAAAAAGAAATCTATTATTTTTTCTGTAGATGGCTGCACTGATAGATTTCTCGTAAAGTATCGATCAAACAATTTCAGATTTATGCTCGTTAAGAAGGTGACATTTCGCAGTAAAAAAAATTCTTTTGCTGTTTTTTGTTTGGTGCACTCAGTTGTGAGTTACAGCGTGTTAAAAATGGAAGTGAACAAAGAGAAAATTCGGTACATTTTACAGTTTTTCTTTGACAAAGGCGAAAATGCTGTAAGGAAGCGTTTTTGCTTCCTTACGAAATACAAGTCCGTCCGCTTAAAAGTCCACCCGCAGTCCGCAGTCAGCAAGTTCGATCTGTCCACACACTAACTTAAGATCATAAAAACACACACCTATTCTTGTAAAATTAAAATGATCTCAAACACACACTAAATATGCTCATACTTGTAGAACATATTGCACAGGCCTACGCTAGTTAATCCATAGGAACACACACTCCAGCACAAAACGAAGGGTAAAGAGAATGAAAAAAGATTGCATGAAATGGCTTTTAGGCATAGAAAATGTAAAATCATACAACACAAACGAACTGAGGCACAAACCCATACGTAACATTTACACAACCGCCAAAGCGCAGAATAGGTATGAATAAGAGCTGTCCGACACAACCCAAAGCCATAGAACTTGTGAGTCATATAGCTCAAACCCAAGTCAAACACAGGTATAAAACCATATGAAATAAGTACAACATATACAAGAAGAAATCTGTATGCCTTAAAAACTGTATAAGCGAACGATAGAAACGCGTACATATTACGCATTACGGTATAAATCCCGTTAGGCTATTTAAGCATGTAGAAACCCTTATGCTACGCAATGCATAAGCATACTCGCTCACGCAAACGCACATACCCAAAGAATCACGCATAGCATTTCATAGTACTGTTAGGTGATAGTAACATACAGAAATCTGTATGCCTTAAAAACTGTATAAGCGAACGATAGGAACGCTTACATATTACGCATTACTGCATAAACCCCATTAGGGTATATAATCAGGTAGAAACCCTTATGCTCTACAATGAATATACGATCACACAAAACAAATAAACGTTAGAGTCACACATAGCAATGCACACCAATACCCATACGCGCAAAGAGCACAAACACACACACAATATTACACAAAAGGTACAAAGACACGATCACACATGTAGAAACACACAAAAAAAAAAGCAAACAAGCATATGCAAACACAGTGGTAGAGGAAGGCACAAGCACTCACATACCTAACGGTGATTGAATCACGCGTTTTGGTACCTGAGTGCCTAGCGAGTAGACATTTGAATAAACATAGTAATAAGCTAGATGTAAGTTGGTTTTAAGTAGGATCATGCAAGTCGTAACTATAGTTGCGACTACAGCCAATCTAAGCTAAGCATACACATAAGCATAGTACCTCAAAACTCGTGTAATCACATAGAACATGTTGGCAATAGGACAAGCGAGGGAGACTCAGGCTATAAAAGAACAGCGCATCGCACAGACTCGTTCATTTTGGTGTCATAGCCGGTCATAGGAGGTAAGTGCCCACGGACAAATCGACTAGTTGACCTTTATAAAGAGTTTTTTTTTGACTTACGGATAGGGGATGTGCTGGTTCAGCTTAATCGCCATCCCTGAAGGACTTTTTAGGACAACTGACTTACGGATAGGGGATGTGCTGGTTCATCTTAATCGCCATCCCTGAAGGACTGGGGGAACGTTATTTCTTTTTACACTCGAAGGACCATCCAGAAACGAACTGGCGGCCTAGGCAGCTATGACACTAGCATCGTTTCCGTTCTCTGTAGCGCGTCGCGATAATCCAAAAGGAAAATTTTCATAATACAAGAAGTTTTTCTCTCATCACGTGCAAGCCACAAGTCGGGTCACCTCGCTGGTTCCTTGCCATAGCCCAGTTCTACACAAGTTGCTGCACTTCTATCCAGTAAAGAGGAAACAATAAATCTAGGAAACTATACACCATTCCCCCCGAAGGTCCGGATTATTTTTATTTCTAAATTTTCTTGCAACGAATCCTGGATTGACTGAGTCATATCCCGCCCAAGGAAACTCGTTACAATGCAAGCCAGGCGGCTAAAATTGTGAATCGTGTTTATGGTTCCGATACTGTAACAGCCAATTATGTGCAATTTTGGTTTCGTAGATTCCGTTTAGGTATTTTTGATGTTAAAGATGCACCTCGCACAGGTAGGCCGGTCGTCGAAAATGTCGATAAAATCGGAGAAATGATCGAAGTTGACCGGCATGTTAGCAGTCGTAACATCGCCCAGGAGCTAAAAATTGACCATAAAACAGATTTAAACCATTTACACAAAGCTGGATTCAAAAAGAAGCTCGATGTTTGGGTGCCACACCAATTAACAGAAAAAAACATGATGGATCGAATTTCCATCCGCGAAGCCTTGGCCAAACGAAATGAGATAGACCCATTTCTTAAACGGATGGTGACTGGAGATGAGAAATGGATCACATACGATAACCCTGTGCGAAAACGATCGTGGTCAAAGAGCGGTGAAGCACCTCAAACGGCCA